CGGTATAAGGACTAGGAACCGGGGTTACCTAGACTACCGGTAACGGGGATAATATCGCGGAATAGATAGGTCTTTACGGTTTAATACTCTATAATACCCCTAGTAGGATAACTTATAGTAGAGGAGGAGCCTATATAGTTATCGACTTAGTCTTCTTAACGGCGCCCTTCGTGGATATTAGAGTGGTACTAGAGGCCGGAGCCCCGGCCTATTACCACCTACTATCTGGTATAATTAGCACCGTATATACCGCCCTAGTAAACGCCCTTACTAGACCTAACCGCTTTAAACTCCCCGAGGACGAGGAGAAGAAGGCCGCGATATGGAGAGAGGTAGCTAATAACCTCCGACTCCTTATATAACCACCGAATAAGAACCTAAACGTAATCGACTAGTAGGCGTAGTAACTAATCGATATAGTAATGGGTCCCCTCCGCCGGTTCGGGATAAAATACTAGGGGCTAGCTAGTAATAGAAAGCCCTAGTAGAACGACGAATATAGATAGGCCTATAACGAGGCTATTCGCCGTAGATATTAAGACTCTGATAATACCGAGGCACGCGACGCCTTTCGTAAGATTATATAACGGGTTAGCAGGGATTACTAGAATAAGAGCCTAGGAGAAGTAAAGAACGCTAAGGAGCTGTATAAGATTGTAGGCTAGTATAAACTCGGCGACGGGCTCTTAACGCCCCCGATATTCCACGACGGTCTAGGCTACTTCAAGGACGCCTAAAAGGGCGAGCTACTACGGAGGATAAAGCTCGCGAGGAAACCGAATATACCGGACCTAGCGGACCCTTAGAATCACCTAATAGATCCCCCCGACCGATATATACCGATAGACTCACCTATCCTAAGGGATAAGGTAAGACACTACACGATTAACGTAGACACGACTACCCTAAGCGGGGATAACGTTAGTGTACCGCTTCTGCGTTTAGTATAGCTAGAGGTCGAAGAAGAAGTGACGGAACTCTTCGAGGCTTATAGGCTTATAGGATACTACCTATAACCCTCCCGAAGAGGAGATATAGTGATAATCGATAAGCCGGGGAAGGATACCGGGACGATAGCTAGCCATAGGCCGATTTAACTACTAAGCGTACTAGGTAAGGGCCTAGAACGTATTATAGTAAGGAGGATAGCTTATAGGGCTATAGTCGCCGGTATCCTAAACCTATAGTATATCGGAGCCCTACTAGGATAGTCGATAATCGACCTCACGGCAGTCCTTATATATAAGGTTAAGTTATAGCTAGTATAGGGGAAGCAGGTTATTACTATAACTAACGATATAAAGGGAGCGTTCGACTTAGTCCTGTATAGATAGTTCGTATATAGGCTGAGAAAATAAGGGTAGGACCTAGCCACGGTGAAGTGATGGGAGAGCTTCGCCTCTTAAAGAAGCGCTTATATAATTTTCGGGGCCTCCTACCTGCACGAGTATACCCCGCTAAACCCTATAGGTTTACTATAAGGATCTTTAGCCTCCCCGATTAAGTATGCCCTTAGTATCGCAGATATATATAAACTGCCTAATAAGGGTAACCGCTTCGGCTACGTAGACGACTCTTATATTATCGCAACCTATATAGACCTTAATAGAGTAGTAAAGCTAGCGACCGAACTACTAGAATAGTAGCTTTAGTAGTATATAGAAAATAGCGTAGAATTAGACTTCGATAAAGCCGAGGCCTAACTCTTCTTACGATAGAAGATCTCCTAATTCCCTACTATATCGGTTCCCCGATTCGACTACGAGGTTATAGTAGCCTACACCGTAGACTACTAGGGCCGTTTTTACCCGGCCCCGATAAGATAGCTTAGTATCTATATAGATAGGAAGCTTGAATTCGATACCTACGTAGAGACGTGGGCAAAGAAAGGGCTTAAGGTCGCTAACTATATTAGAGGCCTCGCCGGGGCCTTATACGGCCCGAACCTAGCCCTGCTTAGAAGAGCCGTACTAGCGTGCATCCTAATAGTCACGCATTATACTACGGAAATCTAGTAGGAAGGACGTATAGCCCTAGCCTAGGGTCCTACTAATATAATTAGTAAGAAGTAGTGCAGATTACCGTTAGGCTACCTGCCACGGCTAAGGACTATAACCCGCGTATAGATAACTATAATACGAGCGGTTCTGCTAACCTAGAAAATAGTCCCTATAATAGTCTTATACCGGGAATCTAGTATACCCTCCGTAGAAGAGTACGCCAAATACCTCCGCTAACGATACGCTATACGGGTTATAGGTTTAGATAAGGATTACCCTATAGCATAGTCCGTCTCCCCGGTTATACGCGGCGATGCCCGGAAAACTAAAGTACCAATTCGGAGATTAAGAATCCTTTGGACTAAAGAACTAGTGTATACGAACCCCCTACGGTATATCCTTATACGCCCCCGATTCACCGGAAGGGTATAGAAAGAGGAGCCGTTTAATAAACGACCTAAGGATAAAGTAGCCACCGCGTTTATAACGTGGTTAGGCTCCCTACCCCGGACTATACCCTTATATTCTCGGATAGGTTATAGAAAGGCCGGAATATAACCTAGGCCTTCTCTATCTAGTGCGGCGGCAGAGAGATTACCTCTAGTCGCGGCTATCTGCGTAATATAAAGGTCTTTAATAGGGAGGTAATAGGAGCCACTAAAGGTCTAGCAGCAGCACTACGACTACCTAATATAAACGATATAACGTGCTATATCGATAATTAAGCCGTTTTAAGGGGGCTTACTAGGACCGCCCCGCGGTCGTCGAAACACGAATTTCTAAGGTAGTAACGCCTAGCCTCCGTTAATAAGGCCTAGCTACGCTAGGCACCGGGTTATATAGGGATTCCGGGTAATAAGAGGGCAGATAAACTTTATAATATAGAAAGTATATAGGGGATACTACTAGAGAATAAGAGGCCGACCTAGGTAAGCGTTAAGGTATAGGCTATAGAACGCTATAGAGCTAGGCTTTAAAAATAGCACGCTAGTAACCGCCCCCGCGGATACTCGATAGCGCTATAGAAGAGACTAGGCTTTAGCAGGAAAAAACTAAAGGATCTCCGGGTACCTCGTAGGACGCTAATACGACTACTATAGGCACGTACTAGGTATAGAGATTTCGATAAATACTATAAGCGGTTGTATTATAAGGACTACGTCACGGACTATAGCTATAGTTATAAAAAGACCCGGGAGCACTTCGCCCACTATCGTAAGGTTAGAAACTCCCGTAAGTAGCTATCCTAGCTATAGCACTACGATAAGAACGGGGATCGGACCCGTAGATTTAACCCCGAGGAGACCCTTATAGAGATCCTTATAAACGGGGCGGCTTTCACCGCCTTTAACAATATAATAGGCTTCCTGGATAGGATATACCTATTACCCTTAAGGAGGGGTGTACCTATAACCTAATAGGAATTAGCCGATAGGTAACGGGCGCTGAGGAGGAATAGTATAAAGGCCCTCGCGGGCATATAGCGAGATAATGAGATTTCCTTTATTATTTCACTAGCGTTATATCTTATACATATATTTAATACTATAGTGTGGTATTTATCATATTTAGGTGGAAAAAGGTTATAGAGTTAAGCGCTTAGCACTATATAGTCTTAGCATATATACATAGAATCCGCAACGCTAGATACTCTAATAGGAGGCGCGGTCCCAGTATTCACTGGGTTCTGCTAAGGCGTTAAATAGAAATACATATATAGGAGGTAGATCTAGTAGCCGTAAAAGGGGGGTTATATAACCGACTACTAATACTATACTAAAGCCGTATCTATATAGTTATAACACGGCCCTAGTTATCTTATTTACGCCCTCGTAGCGTAGATAACTCCTAAAAATATGCAGATATAAGTAAATAAACTAAGCAAAGAGCTATTGTATACACTTATTCCTCTAATTACCGCGTCTTCCACGTATATCTAGTTAGGGATCCTCTTAGCTCTAGTTCCTCCGTATATACCGTCCCCTTACTATCTTTATCGGCTATATACTTAAGATATTACTTATCTAATCCTCTATATATACCTGTACTTACGCTTTCGTAAGGTTCTTCCTCCTACTATATAGTTAGGCTCGCCGGCCTTCTTAGCCTTTTAATTAGCGGTAGCCTTATCTACCTTATATTTAATAGCGGCACTATAACAACGCTATCCTCTCTATTCTATAGCTATATCGAATTTTGTAAGATTTTTAAGATATAGTAACTGTAGTATTTTAGTCCCGTTCATTTATTATAGACTTTTCTATTCTGTTAAGGTTTACTAAGAAAATATTTGACAGCACTAACACGTGACTTCTAGGTCTAATTCTAGCTGATAGCTTTAGTATATAGAAAAAGTAAACTGATATATATAATAATCGTATAACTATATATATACCGTCTTAATTTTATAGAGCTTCCTTTTACGGTTAGTAAAATAACAGGGGTGTGAAATCCCGTTTTTTGGTGTGGTTTGGGGGGCGGTTAGGGGGGGTTGGGCGGGTGGGGGGTGGTCTGACTTATTTGACAAGGTCTCCCTATTGAGTGAGTCCTTTTTTTTCCGGTTTTTCTTTCCCTTTTTTTTTTTTTTTTTTTTTTAAAGAAAAGAAGAAAAAGAAGAAGTGGAAGAGAAGAGCAAAATACAAGGAAGAAGCAGAAGTAATTACTACGTTGCCGATTCTGCCCGTCCTCTCGCAGTACGCATGTGCACACTAATATATCCAATTTTGTGAAGGAACCGTTCTCAAGATATTGTCTAGATGTAGAGCGCTGAAGTTGCCTACTATTAAACTGTTTACTGGTCGAGGTTGGCATGCAGGAGACTCCGTTCCGCATTGGTGTAGAAGGAAATGCAACTATGGCTCTATTATCCGTCGCATTACAAAAGTCCTCGACGACCCGTCTGAGCGAGCCAGTGCCCTCCGAAACTTGACGATCCATTCACCTGTTCAATTAGACTTCTGAACATCTAAAAACGGCTCACTTCAAATCTCTGCAGAGAATTTAGTGCTCCAGGAGACGCAAACTGCCCTGCACAACAACGTTTTCGAGAAGGGAGCCTGGAGGGATGTCGATGGTGCTGCCCTCGGTGGCGACAATAATGACAGTGCCCTTTAAAGTCACACCGCGACCGAGATTCACAGCACCCGTGATGGTCAGATGATCCAGTTCGATCATCTTGGGGATGGACGGAATGCGCTTCTGGAAGTCGGACACCTTCTTAAAGTCGCTGCCCAGCTTGATGAGGGGGGCGTCGCCAAAGCGGGAGGTGCTCATTTGGAGTTGACCGTGCTTAACCTGGTAAAGGTCCGATTTGACGAGCATCAGATCAGAGCATGTCTTGACGGGCAAGAAACGCCTGCGGGGAACATTGACTCCGTGGGCGTTACTGAAGTGGCGAATAGCAGCGCCAACCGCCGTCTCGAGCTGGATAATGGAAATGTCCGACTCGCCCTTCTTGTCACCGGGTATAGTCTTGCCGTTCGGGATGATCTCCATCTCGAGTTCGTCATTCTCCACAACCCGTTTGATGGCCTTGAGGTTCAGCCAGATGTTGTTCGTGTTGAAGTACTTGAATTTCTTGATCGACTTGAATTCGTTGACATGCTCCTTGGGCACCTGGGCGATCTCAAGGAGGCGAACGGACCCCTCGTAGTCGATAATGGTGCCACCCTTCACATCGGCCTTGGTCTTGTTGGTCAGCTCCATGATGTATTCGGCCTCGGTCTCGACCATGTGCTGGAGGATGCGGAGATCGACAACAGCTCCAAGGTTATCGACATTGGAGAGGAAGATGATCTCAATGCCGCGATCAAGGAGCTTCTCGAGAATGCCCGAATTATAGAGCGACTCGAACACATCACCGTGGCCAGGTGGGTACCAATCGGAAATGGGAGATTGGAAGGTTTTGGGCACGGGCAGGAGCGAATCCTTGAGAATTCTGGGGTAGCGCGACTGGTTGAAGGTGAGGATATCGACGTTATGGCCCTCGTATTTCTTGATGATGGACGCCGTGTCGTCATTGGTGTTGAACGAGTTCATCAGGAGGAAAGGCACGTTGACATTGTATGTTCGATTCAGGTACTCGACCTGGCGAACGGAGAGATCCAGGAAGGACATGCCGTCACGGACTTCGATCACGGACTTGGGGCCGACGCAGCCCATGGAGGTACCGAGACCGCCATTTAGCTTAAGGACGGCAAGCTTGCTGAGGAATTGGACAGCCTCCGAGTTGGAGAGATCTTCGTAGTCGACAACCTGCCCCTGTGCGGGAGGGGCAATGCGATCCCAGTCCCTGTATCCGGATGAGATGTTAGATCTCTCTTGGCCAAATGAAAAAAAAAAGGAAACGGGGAAAGGGGAAAAAGGGAAAAATAAAGGAAGAGAGCAGGCAGAGCAGGCAGAGGACTAGAAACGTACACAGCATTGCCCTTGGCCTTGTCATTCAAGTAGCGGCGAAACAAAGCGAAGAAGTTGTCCATTTCAGTCTCGAAAAGCTGTAGAAAAGCTGTCAGACACCACTGTCAAGGAAATGGGGTATGGGAGAGACTCGCCTTCTTCTCTTGGGGGTCCTCGACCGTCTCGGCGAGCTGCGTAAGGGCGTTCCGCATCTGGGCAGCAGCGACATTGGTCGAAGTATTCTCGAAGGCCTGCATTCGAACGGTTAACTATTTGAATTTATCGATCCTGTCTGCTGGAGAAAAAACCGTGCCACTGGCCGCAACTTCACTTCGTCGACCCGAGGCCCGCTAAAGGGTGACCACGGGACGTAAATGGACGGCTGGGGAGCGTAACAAAGCTGGCAATAATATGGCAGGACTGCGGTAACACTGCGCAATCAGGGTGTGTATGACCGCCGTCGTAATTCCCTCTACACGCACCAACGAATTTGATACTTCTCGCTCAACACGCGCAAAATGGAGAACGACGCGATAAGTCGAATGGAAAATATGGCAAGCCCAGATTGGCTTGGGCATGGGGTTAAAGGGGTAGGCGCCTCACCATGTGCGATCTCGTCTTGCCATGATGACGCGAGGCAAACTCTGCGTCGTCCTTGCCGTTGCCATGGCCGCCGCCCAGGGGGGACGACTGCTTTAGGTGCGAAGGCAATGCGCTTTTGATCGCAGACGCCATGTTGAGGAAATGGTGTGCTGACGGGATTCGTTATGCGAAGAGTAGAATGATCAAGAGTCGTCGAGGCCCTCTGCGTGGTACGTCTTTAGCAAGGTCGGTAGGGTGGTTGAAAGATGGCAGATTCGGATCGTGGCAGGTTGACTGAATACGAAGGGAGGGCGGGGTTCAAAAGAGCTCCAGGGGCGTGGAGCTGACGCAGTCAACTGAGTGGTTGGATGCCTTCTCTGACGTAATTGGGCAGTGAGCTTAATGTTTACAGTACTTGGACTTGCATTTTTGCCCCTGAGTACCGCTCCGTACCATTCATCCAACCGCCTTCACACCAACCTGGGCAGCATTAACCCAGGATGGAACGCGAAGCTCGTTTGGTCCCTCCCCCCCTTTTTTTTTCTCCTGCTTCGTTTAGAGAAACAGAGAACGGGAGGAGAGGAGGACGAGGCGGAGGCGGAGGCGGAGGCGGAGGAGAAGAGAGGTGGGTGGGAATCGGTCAATCCATACCTGCTACACGTCGCTTTTAGATGATGGTCGTAATGTGTTGATGCACTTGGGAGAGTTGGTGTTATTGCGAGAAAGGAGACCTCCGAGGAGGGAAGAGAGAAGTTTACGAGTCGGGCTACTTGTAATTATTACAGTCTAGGCACAACGAAGAATGGCGTGGCTGGGTGGGTAACCTGCCTTTACCTTGGAGAGTTGCACATCTATCCGTATCTGTAAGGTACTCTGTTCAGCATTACGGGTAATAACTTCGTACATCACTGGGTACCTACCTGGTGCTTTATTTGCCAGTTAGGTATCTGTACAACGTAGTTACAGGGTCCATTTTTCGTTTGGTTCGTGCTCACTTGGCCTGACACTTGACACCTCGTGTATCCATAATACACGAAGCACTACCTAGGAAACAAGGGCCCCGGTGCGACGAAATACTCAATACACGGTACACCTCTACGGGGATTAGAGAAACGTTAGCTCGTATACAATCTGATATGACTGGCTGGGATAACAGGGGACCCTGCAGGTAACAGTACAACCAAACACATAACACCTTTGCCTATTTCTCAAGTACCTATACCCATATAAAAAATTCAATTCCCTTAACAATATCTTTCACACTATCAAAATCAGTATTATCTATAGCTGTCTCTCTTAATACCTTATACTAACGCAAGCGGTAATTAGGGCATCGTAAAAGCTAAAGGCTCTAAAAAGCTCCTATTAACACTATCCTAAGGAATGCGCAGGGGAGGCAGGGTAGTATTAGAGGGTATATTAAAAAGAGCTTCTTTTAATAAAGAGGCTGGATATTCGTTTTGAAGATCTTTGACGATATCAGATAAGCGGAAGGGACGAAAGTCACGAAAAGCAGTGGAAAAATAAGAAGGTAATAATAGGATTGTAAGGTAGGATCTCTGCGCGCGTAGTATGTCTTTTTCGGATCGAAAAAGGGATTAAGATAAAGGATTAAGAATAAAGAATGAAGAAAGGAAGGAACCGAACCAAGGGAACGGGTTAATATCCTTTAGATATCCTTTATTCTTCGTAAAAGGATCGATATCGTAATAATATCGTAATCCATTATATCCCTTGTCTGACTCGTATTAGATGAACAGACTCGAAAGAGAACGGTCTAGGCTTGCGAGGAAGATATCCTTTATTCGAGTATAAAGGACTTACTCGAAGGATATTAAGGATATTATTAGTAATAATAATAACATTAACACCCCCCCCCGTAAGCTGATTCTTATATAAGAAGGAGCAGCTTAAAAACGAGTATATATATTATAGAGTTATAACGTAGAAACCCTAGTTAACTAACTAGGACTAATTATAAGAGGAAAAATAAAATAAAACCTTTAAGGGAAAACCATAAAAACCCTTAATTTCTTCTAAAGGGAAAATTGGAAAACCCTTTTTATGATACTAGAAAAACCCGTAGGTAAAAAACCTAGCTATAGTATTTTAGGAAACCCGTGGGTAAAAAACCTAAGTATTTATATCTAGGAAATTCCGAAGATAAAAGACCTAGTTATAGACGTTAGTATTTTAATTCTTGAATTCGGGTATAAGGTGGTATATCGTAGTCAGGTAACGTATCGTCTTTATAGCCTAAATTTATATAGCCGCATAGTGTATAATATAGGTCTTTAGTTAGACCTTTAGCTATTATATCGGCTATATTAAATTTAGTATTTATATAAACTACCTTTATTTTATTATTTTAAAGCTGTTATCGGCAGTAGTGATACTGACGATCTATATACTTTACACGTTTATGAAATTCAGGATTTTCATAAAGCTTCTTTACGCTTTTGCTGTCTATTAATATAGGATGAATGTGTATATTATTCGTATTAGTAGTATTATTATTATATAAACCGAAGTTTATATTAGTAAATAGCCTGAGGTTATCTACTAGGTCTATATATATATATTATATATATAGATTCCTTCTTTAGAAGCTTCGGTTAAAGCTATATATTCTGATTCTGTTATTAATAAAGTAACGACTTTTTATTTAGTAGAAGTCTAGCTTATTAAATTATTGATACCTATATAATAGATATAGCCTAACGTAGAAGTCCTGTCTTCGATTATATCTGAAAAACTAGTATTAGAGTAACCGTAAATATTAAGGTCTTTTTTATTAGAATAGTTATATAAAAGCCCGATATTAGGAAAGGTGTTTATATAAGCCTAGACTCGATTTAAGGCTATAGAGTGCTCTGAAGACGGATTACTTATATATCGAGCGTACTTATTAATAGCGTAGGCTATATCCGGTCTTAAGTGTAGTGCTAAATATAATAAAGCACCGATTTCTTATTAGTATACTTTAATACCGGCTTTTAACGCCTATTCTTGATTTGGTATAAGGACCTTTTTATTTATATAGGGGGTATCAACGCGTTTAAGGCTTCGTTTATTATACTTATCGAGGATCTTATTCGTATAAGATAACTAATTTATAGAAAGGGTCTTATTTGATTTATTTATAGTAATTTCGTGGCCGTGTAAAGTTCACCCAGTTCTTTAAGCGAAATTTCTTCGATATTTCAGTAAATAAATACTATATCGTTATAGTGGAAGGACTTAGTATTACTATATCGTTATAGTGGAAGGACTTAGTATTACTATATCGTCTACGTGGTATATTAGTATAGCACGGTCTGTTTTATTCTTATAAAAAGTAAATATACCGTTATCGAAGTTATAGACTAGGCAGCCGATATCGCGGAGTATCTTTACTAGGAAATTATACTAAAGCCTAGGGTTTTATTTTAAACTATACAAAGCTTTATTTAGTTTATAAACTAATTTATTCAATAATTATTTAACACGCCTAGTAACCACGGGCGCGTAATAAGAGCAAAATCGATAAAACTATCGGGATAAAGACTATAACTACTACCTCCCTCCCGGGATACTATTATAGCGGTACCGTAATACCGGCGCTACGGTATAGCCGGAAGAGTCGTGGGATAGCATCGCCCCGGCCTTAACTATGCAGAATTCGTAATAAACCCACTTCTTATAATATAAGCGCTCCCCCCCCCCGCCTATAGCAGGATATAGCGCGGAACCGATATAAGACTAAAAGGGGACCATCGCGCCCCCCGGAACCGAGAGTAACTAAGATTAGGGCAGAAATTCAGGCCTTACTAGCTAATAGGAACACGATTAACTAGGTTATAGAGCTAGTAGAGGAACTAATCACGATACGTAGTACCTGTTAGGACGCTAGTACGATACCGCTAATATACCTATACGCTACCATTCGTCACGTTATCCGAGAGGAACTCCGAAAAGGGATAAACGGTATAAAAGAGACCTAGGCTAATATCGTAGCCCGGGCTCCCGTAGCGATACCGCCGCGGGACCCCGTACCCCTTAAAATAATCCCCGCTAGGTATTACGGGGAACTAATGATCCGCTAAAAAACCCTCCCCGAAGACTAGCCCCTTAAGGATAGGACCCTAAAGGAGATTATCTAAGCTATAAATACCACGATTACCCGATATAATACCGTAGCGGTATAGAAGCCACTAAGCGGAGATATCTACCTTAGCTTTACCGAAAGGGTATAGTAGTAGGCCACCTATAAGGAATAATAGATTAAGAAGGCCTTTAGTAAAGAAGCCACCCTAGCCGTATACACCTACCCTATACTAGCTAAGGCCATCCCCCAGGAGGTCCTTAACGCCCTATCCGAAGAAGACCTATTAGTATCTCTACGGGATATAAACCCTAAGGTAAAAAATATCCGAGTATAATAACGGGTACCCCGCTACGGCACCGGCAGGATAGTGCTCCTCCTTATCGAATCGGCTTTGCGAGAAGGGGCAGTAAGCCTTATCCGGAATACCCTCCTCTTTAAGGGGGGCAGCTATATCTATAAACTATACGACCCCGACCATAGCCCCCTAAGATGCTATAAATATCTATACTTTAGCCACCGAGCGAACGGCTACCTTATAGCGGAGAGGGTATACCGCTACTATACTAAGCCCGAATTAGCGCACCCCTAAGGCCTAGGATATTATAAAGCTATAGCGCTAAGGCGCCTTTACCGCTACGCCGCCTATACCGGAGACTATGATACCTTCGCCGATTTATACCGACTACTAGAAAAGAAGGCTAAGAAGACCCGCGAAGCGTATAAGTACCGAGCTAGAGACTTCGATATTACCCGCTAGACCGAAGCGGTATACCCGCGGTAGCCGTAAATCTTTCCCCCGATTATTATCGCTTAAGACTAGGACTAACCCCCCTATAAAGGCAGGGGTCGGCCCCCGAAAAGAACTAGGGGATAAAAGGGCTCCCCGATACTAGGCCCGATAAGTGCCTATATAGTCCCCCGTGGGGCTAATAAGGCACCGTAGTAGGAACCCTAGAGCTAGACCCCGGTTATACCGGGTACGGTATCTTAACCCCCCCCCCCCTCCCTTTTAATTAATAGAAATCCACGTCCTTTTATAGAATATAGGGAGGAGTTAAGCGCGGTGGGAGCTACCGCTTTAGTGCCGCGCCGAGTACGACGTGATAGTAATTTAGGAACCTGGCCTTAACCGCTTTACGAAAAGCCCCGTATACCCCTCCTAAGGGGTATATCGGCTAATCTAAGGAGGAGGCCGCGCCCTCCTATATATTTATAAGTGATACCCACTATATACGTGGATATAGCAGGCCTACCGTGATACCTCTACGGTTATATTCGGGACCGGAGACGATACCCTTATAATCTAGTCGATTTACTTAGAGAATTATTAGTCGGCTAGGATCCCCTAGAATACGCCCCTATAAGATATATTCGACACGGCACCGCTATAGGGCCGATACGTCCTTATAGGGAACTTTAACCTATACTACCCCTTACAGTTATAGCCACCGCGGTACTACCCCTAAGCCGATACCCTATTTACCCTTACGACCCGGTAGAACCTTAACCTAGTAACCCCCCCCGGAATAACTATATAGTACCGCCCGGGCCGGCGTGCTAGCACTATCGACCTTATATAGATAACGAAAGGGCTCCGCTACGATTTTAGCGGCCCGGATAAGACTATTATCGGGTCTAACCACT